TGTTCCCCAGCACCACAATTCAAAGGTGTCAATTCTTCTTCTGTCTTCCTTATTCGTTGTCCAGCTTTTGCATGCATATGAGGCGACTGAAAACACCATGGTTTGGGTCAGGCACACCTGAGTCTTCAAGGTGACATCTTTGCTTTTCAACACTTTAAAGAGGGCTTTGCAGCAGATTTGCCCAATGCAATGCGTCTTTGATTTCTTGACTGCTGCTTTCATGGGTGTTGACTGTGGATCCAAGTATATACATATATAAACAAAAAAAACTCATTGCCGTCGAATTGATTCCGACTCATAGCTACCCTGTAGGACAGAGTAGAACTGCCCCCTAGGGTTTCCAAGGAGCAGCTGGTGGATTCCAACTGCTGACCTTTTGGTTAGCAGCCGAGTTCTTAACCACTGTGGAATTCCATAGAGATAGAAAGGAGATTCTGGAAGCACCACCAGAATGCTCCTTAGAAGCAAGGATGGTGAGACTTCGTCTCACATACTTTGGACATGTTGTCAGGAGGGATCAGTCCCTGGAGAAGGACATCGTGGTTGGTAAAGTAGAGGGTCAGTGAAAAAGAGGAAGACCCTCAGTGAGGTGGACTGACACAGTGGCTGCAACCATGGGCTCAAGCATAACAACGATCCTGAGGATGGCACAGGACCGGGCAGTGTTTCGTTCTGTTGTACATGGGGTCACTATGAGTCGGAACTGACTTGATGTCATCTAACGACATCGACAACCGAAGAGGTTAGCAGATGCCAAGGGCGGGGGAGGGTGGGGAGTCCAGGAGCTGGGGGAAGGGAGGATAAGGGATGATGTTTCATGAGTACGAGGTTTCTTGTTGGATGATGAAAATGTTCTAAAATTGACTGTGGTGACGGTTGTCAGTTTGTGAATATACCAGAAACTATTGAATTATCAAATGAAAAAGAAAAAAAATCAAACCTGAGCATTACAAACTGGAATTTCTCCGACTGCTCTGACTGGGATTACAACAGAGGGTCCCGGACAGAGCAGGAAGAAAACTGGAGAACAAAAAAGCAAATTCACAAAAAAAAAACCAGACTTACTCGTCTGACAGAGACTGGAGGAACCCGCGAGACTATGGCCCTAAGACACCCTTCTGACCTGGAACTGAAGCCATTCCCAGAGACCACCTCGCAGCCACAGACGGGCCCATAAAATGAACAATAACCCCCGAGAGGACCATGCTCCTTAGAACCATCAGTTATATGACATCCAAAGGGCAACATTTGCCCAAAAGCAAAGACGAGAAGGCAGGAAGGGGTAGAAAATCAGGACAAAAGGAAACGGGGAACCCAGGGTAGAAATGGGGGGAGTGCTGATACATTCTAGGAGAAGACACCAAGGTCAGGGAACACTTTATGTACAGACTATCAACTGGGAAACTAACTCTCATCTAATGCACAATAAAAAATCTAAAAAAATTGGAATTTCTAAACAGGATAAGAAAAAAGCAGTGAAGGCGGCAGTTTTTACCATCCTTTGGGGTTGAAGAAAGAGCCTCAGTGGCACAGTGGTTAAGCACTCAGCTGCGAACCAAAAGGTCAGTGGTTCAAACCCACTAGCCACTTCTTGGGAGAAAGATGTGGCAGTCTACTTCTATAAAGATTAATCTCATTGCTGTCGAGGCGATTCTGGCTCATAGTGACCCTATAGGACAGAGCAGAACTGCCCCATACGGTTTCCAAGCAGCAGCTGGTGGATTTGAACTGCCAACCTTTTGGTTAGCAACAGAGCGCTTAACCAGGGCTCCTCTGTAAAGATTACAGCTTTGGAAACCCTATGGGGCAGTTCTACTCTGTCCTCTAGGGTCACTGGGAGTTGGAATCGACTGGATGGCAACGGGTTTTTTGGGGTTGAAGCCCACTTTTCAGTAGAGGGTTGGGGATTGTAGGGAGGAGATAAAGCTTGGAGAGAAGTATCTGGGAATCTTGGAGTCTCACCTTTATATATTCCATTCCAGCCACCATACTGGTGATTTCCGAGTTGGGACTCTAAGGATCCACCATGATCTGATGTAAAATAAACGAGGGTACTGTTGGTCAAACCTTCCTCATTCAAAGTATCCAGGATCTGTCCTGCAAAGAGGAGGTAGGTTGGAACCACTCAAAATAAAAAAGTATCTTAAACCAAACCACACAGGTGTGCTTTAGCATTTTGGAACAATCCATGAGGAAGAGGCTTTTGATTTAAAACATAATGTCTTAGTCATCTAGTGCTGCTGTAACAGAAATACCACAAGTGGATAGCTTTAACAAAGAGAAGTTTATTCTCTTGGAGTCCAGTAGGCTAGACGTCCAGATTCAGAGCACCAGCTCCAGGGGAAGGCTTTCTCTCTCTGTTGGCTTTGGAGAAAGGTCCTTGTGATACATCAGTCTTCCCTTGGTCTGGAAGCTTCTCTGCATAAGAACCTCAGGTCCAAAGGACACGCTCTGCTCCTGGCACTGCTTTCTTGGTGGTGTGAGTTTCCCATGTGTCTCTGCTTGCTTCTCTCTTTTATATCTCAAAAGAGATTGGCTTAAGACACTATCTCATCCTGTAGATCCCATCAATGCAAATGCCAGTAATCCATCTCATTATATCATAGTGATAGGATTTACAACACACAGGGAAATCACATCAGAGGACAAAATGATAAGACAGTCATACAATACTGGGAATCATGATCTAGCCAAGTTGACGCGTATTTTTGGGGGACACAATTCAACCCATGACAGGTAGTATTCTGATTCTGATCTCTTCAGTGTCCTTGATCTAAGACTGAGAAATTTATCTATATGTGCAGTTAAACCAGTTGTTGTCAAGTTGAATCTGACCCATGGGTGTCGTAGTAGAACTGTGTTCCACAGGGTTTTCAATGGCTCTTTTTTTGGAAGCAGGCTGCCAGGCCTTTTTTCTGAGGCACCTCTGGATGGACTTGAACCTCCAAACTTTTGCTTAACCATTTGCACAGCCCAGGGACTCCCTTCTTTGTACGTACCCCATTCTATTTGCAAACAATTTTAGGCAAGCTAAAAGGGCATATGCTCGTAAAAACAGTAGGGGCACTGTCTGACCTCCTCTGAGTTCTCAAGGGGAAGGAGAATGAAGATCAACAGCCCAAGGCTGGTTCCTGTGAGGTGGAGGTCAGATAGGCCTCTTCTCTCCACCATCTTTACCAATTCTGACACCAACCGTCCCTCCCACGGCACTCTCTACTTCTCTGCTGGGTTCGATAATTCATTGCAATGGCCACACAGAACTCACAGACCATACTTATGATTATGGGGTTTATTAGGGAAGTAACAGTTACAACTCAGGCTCAGGAACACTCAGGATACAGTTCTTCCATCAGGACAGCCTCTTTCCAGCCGTGCTGGCAGGCACACCTCTCTCTGGCCCTCAGTCTCTGCCCAAAGGCACTCAGCTTTCTCTCTCCGTGGGCCGGAAAGCCCACCACACAGTCTCCTGTTGCCAGGTCTCTGCTCCCTTCGGGGTTACAGCTCGCTCTCTGTCTCCTGGGTCCAGGAGCTTCTCAGCGTAGGGATCCCTGGTCCAAAGGACATGCTGGCTCCTGGCTGTTCTTCCTTGGTGGTGGTGACAGCATCTTCTCTTTCCCGCCCCTGGGGTGGCTCATTTCAAGCCCAGCAGGATGGCAAAACTGACCAATCCCGTAGGTGGGCCACGATTACCCTATCATGCAATCCCGCCCGATCACTTGGGTGGGAGTTACAAGACCATGGCTAGAGAGGCCACACAAAAGTGGTCCATCACACCACAATGCTATAGAGACAGATCAGCAAGCCTGGCTTCCATGAATTTATGTATTTATTTATTTGTGTCGTAGATCCCATTTTCTTGCTTCTTCGCAAACCTAACACGTTTTTTAAGTTTTGTACCAGAACTGTGTATTGAAGAAGAGTAGAGACTGAGCTGAAACACTGTTTCCTTTGGTTTTCCCTGGAGAGTCTGTGCTGTTTCTCACATCTGGCAGCTCCAGGAAGGTGACACCAAGTGCTGACCTGATCTGAGAATGAGGGAGTTCACCCCCAGTTAGCCCAAGCCCCCAACTTCTGGACTGCAGCTGCTGCTACTGAGGGGCCAAACTCTTTATTCTTCTTCTTTTTTTGGTGTGTAGTTTTTTTGTTGTTGTTGTAATTTAGATGAATGTTTTCAGAACAAACTAGCCTCTCACTAAACAGTACACATATTGTTTTGTGACATTGGTTAACAACCCCACGACATGTCAACACTCTCCCTTCTTGACCTTGGGTTCCCTATTACCAGCTGTCCTGTCCCCTCCTGCCTTCTAGTCCTTCCCCCTGGGCTGGAGTGCCCCTTTAGTCTCGTTTTGTTTTATGGGCCTGTCTAATCTTTGCATGAGGCATGAACCTCAGGAGTGACTTCATTACTGACTGAACTAAAAGGGTGTCCGGGGGCCATACTCCCGGGGTTTCTCCAGTCTCCTTTAGGCCAGTAAATCTGGTCTTTTTTTGTGAGTTAGAATTTTGTTCTACATCTTTCTCCAGCTCTGTCCGGGACCCTCTGTTGTGATCCCTGTCAGAGCAGTCGGTGGTGGTAGCCGGGAGCCATCTAGTTGTGCGGGACTCAGTCTGGTGGAGGCCGTGGGAGTTGTGGTCCGTTATCCCTTTGGACCAGACTCTTTATTCTTACCAGTGTTTGAGCCTGGAGCTGGTAGGGGGTTGGGCCATGGTAAAAAAAAAAAAGAAGTTAGCATTGAATTGATTCTGATTCATGGCAATCCTGTGTGTGTCAGAGTAGAACTGTGCTCCCTAGTCTTCAGTGGCTGATTTTTCAGAAGAAGATCACCAGGCCTTTCTTCCCAGGTGCCTCTGGGTGGACTCGAAGAGTCAATTTTTCAATCAGCGGCTGAGCGCACTGTTTGCACCGAATCAGTGGTGGCAGGCATTAGGTGCGTGTAAGAAAGTCCGGGAGGCTGTTGGAGTTTTTCTGCCTTCAGATACTATTTTTCTCAGCAGCGGGAGCTATTGCACACTTTTAAGCTGCAAGCGATCTTTATCTGATCTCTCAGATTCAGGTATGGACTCTAAATTTAGATGGCTTACCTGTGGGAGTCTCCGGGTGTTGCAAACGATGAAACACTCGACTATTAGCCAAAACGTTGGTGGTTCAAACACATCTAGGGGCACCTCGGAAGAAAACCTGTGATCTGCTTTTGAAAGGTCCCAGCATTGAAAACCCTGTGGAGCAGTTCTACTCTGCACACATGGGGCTCCCCGTGAGTCAGAATCGACTGGCTGACAACTTACAGCAACACCACGCACGTGGAATGGGATGGATTCAGCATCTAAAAACGGAGTGAAGCTGTGTCGTCCTTGCTGTGAGTTGCCTGAAGTCGGCTTCAGCTCACGGCGACCCCATGTGTGTCCGAGCAGAGCTGTGCTCCGTGGGGTTTTCAATGGCTGATCTTTCGGAAGCAGATCATCAGGCCTTTCTTCTGAGGCACCTCTGGATGGGTTTGAACCACCAACCTTTTTGGTTAGGAGCCGAGCGCGTTCACTGATTACGCCAACAGGGACTCGAGTGAAGATGTGCGGTATGGTATGATAAGCTCTAAAAATCCAGTCTGGTTGTAATCCTTGCGCGGTTCTGCTGTGCTTAGCTTTAATGCATCTCACCTTCTTCTCGTTGACCCCGTTCGTTCCTGCCTCTCCTGGGCGAGGAGGGGCCACGTTTTCATGCACAGAAGACACTCACCCACCATCCAGTCCATGTCCTCTACGTTGTCCCCGTACAGCCCGTGGAGGCTCTTTCCCAGGGACTTCTCGGTGGTAATAAGGGGAACATGGACGTGTAGGAAGGAAACAAAGAGCAGGAAAGGGCCGCGCTTGTTTCTAAAAGCAAAACACACGCAACAGGGGTTAGGGGCCAATTCGGAAGAGGAGGGTGCGAAAGGTCGCGCAACCGGAAGGATGTCACCCAACATCACTGCATCGGACATGTAGAAATTGGTGAATCCGTGTATGTTTTGCTGTGTGCATTTTCACCAAAGAAAATATAAAGTAAAAAAAAAAATCAAGCAGAAAAACAAAATGAGAGTAAACACAAAGGAACCAGCGTTACCTTTGTGTACGGCAGAGACGGAGACCCTTGAGTTGCCAAACAGAGATCTAAACAGTCACGTCCTTTGTGAGGGGTTGGTCGGTGTCCCTCCCAGAAAGATGTGTTCAAGTCCTAACCCCTGGAACCTGGGAACGTGACCTCGTTTGGAAACAGGGTTTTTGCAGATGTCATTTGAGTTATCATGAAGTCATCCTGGAGGAGTTGTTATTGATAGTTGCCACCCGGTCGATTCCAACTCACAGCGCCCCCGTGTGTGCAGAGTAGAACTGCTCCACAGGGTTTTCCAGGCTGGGACCTTTCAGAGACAGATTGCCAGGCCTTTCTTCCGTGGCACCTTCGGGTGGGTTCGAACTGCCAACCTTTAGGCTCGTAGCTGAGCGCCAAACTGTTTTCACCTTCCAGGGACTCCATACCGGAGTAGGGAGGGTCCTAATCAAAAGACCGGTGTCCTTATAAGGGAAGGAGAAGAGACACAGAGACAGGGAGGCGCAGAGGGAGACGCCACATGAAGACGGAGCAGAGATGGGGGCGATGCGGCCAGAAGCCCAGGAACGCCCGGGGCCCCCAGGAGCTGGGAGAGACAAGGAACAATCCTCCCCCAGAGCCTCTGGAGGGAGCGTGGCCCTGCCCACACCTTGGTCTCAGACTTCCGGTCTCCAGAACTCAGAGGGAATGAATGTCTGTTGTTGTCAGTCAAACAGTTTGTGGTATTTCGTTAGCGGCCGTAGGAAACTCATACATCCTTACTGAGGTGTTTTCCCTACTGTGCCCACCACGAGCAAACACGTAAAAAATTCTTACTGAACGGCACCAATGTTCTTGTATTGGAGAACCGTTAACGTGATGCCTTTTCCTTTCTAAACTCTATTTAAGACTACGTAAGGATTTTATACGTCTTTTTTCCCTGAATATTGTAATTTTCTGACTCCACGTACTTAGGGCAACTGAAAGTAGAGGAGATCAGCAGCCAGCTGTCTCACCTGATGTTTATCTCATTCAACTCTCTCAGTATATTTTTCTTCCTCGAACCCTTGCTTACAGAATAAGGAATATTGTACATTCAGTTTTCTTTATAATTGCTCATATGAAGAAATCAGGTTTAAGGCATAGTTTCAAAAAACACACTTTACAAATGAGGTGTGCGGGGTGCTGTCGAGCTGACCCTGACTCATGGTGACCCCAAGTGTGTTCCATAGGGGTTTCAATGGCTGGATTTTCAGAAACGGAATGCCAGGCCCTTCTTCTGAGGCACCTCTGGGTAGACTCGAATAAATGAGGTGTACTAGGTTATTAATTTCAAAATGATAATCTTCTTTTTTAGGCAATGCCTCCTCTCTCCCCTTCCTTTATGATTAATCAACGCCCTTGAAGTGTAGAGGAAAAGCTGACTGTCTTAGCTGTAATTAGGGCATCATAGGCTGGCCAGCTTTAATGTCCAAGCTAATTATCAATGCCATGATGGAGTCCCATTAGGGAATTCCATGAAGAATGTTCTAAGACGTCTGGGATCTTCAAAGCTTGCTAGTGACCATCCAAGATACATCTATTGGTCTCTTCCCACCCAGAGCAAACGAAAATGAAGGGAACCAAAGACACCAGGAAAATATTACTCCGAAGGTCTAAAGGACCACGTGAACCGCAGCCTCCGCCAGCCTGGCCCCAGAAGATGGTGCCCAGTTATCACCACCAACCGCTCGGACAGGGACGGCAATAGAGAGGCCTGGACAGAGTGAGAGAAAAATGTAGAACAAAATGCAAATTCACGAGAAAAAGACTAGACCTACTGGTCTGACAGAGCCTGGAGAGACCCCTGAGACTACGGCCCCCAGACAGCCTGCTAACTCAGAACTGAAGCCACTCCTGAAGTCCACCTTTCGGCCAAAGATGAGACAGGCCTAGAAAACGCACAGGAGCCCCGGTGACATGGTGGTTGAGAGCTACGGCGAGCCGTGGCTGCTAACTAAAATGTCGGCAGTTCGAATCCACCAGCTGCTCCTTGCAAACTCTGTGGGACAGTTCTACTCTGTTCTATAGGGTCACTATGAGTCGGAATCATGTGACGGCAAAGGTTTTTTCTGTTCTTTTTTTTTTTTTAATAGAACAAACAATAACACATGTGAGGAATATGCTTCTTAGTTCAATCAAGTATATGAGACCAAGCGGGCCTCACCTGCCCAAAAGCAAAGACAAGAAGGCAGGAAGGGACAGGGGAGAACTGGACGAATGGACACAGGGAACCCGGGCTGGAAGGGGGGAGAGTGTGACACACTTCAGGGATTGCAACCAATATCACAAAACAATTTGTGTATAAATTTTTGAATGAGAAACTAATACGTGCTGTAAACTTTTACCTAAAGCACACACACACACAAAAAAAAGAATGCTCTAAGAATATTCTACAACCCGATTGTAACCTTGGCACCAGGTGAGCTGGGGTCTGATGGTGTCACCCTCTTTATTGGGGCACCCTCGGGAGCGTCCTGCCTGTTTCGGACAGGGTAGCTCTTCATTACATCCTTGTTCGTCCTACATATAGTAAGTCCCACATCACTGAAATTCACATCTAAGCTGAAGTTAGCAGCAGGACATCTTAGTCCCCAAGATAGAGTTTTTAAAACATTTAAATTTTATTGTAAAGGTGTTCTAGGTGATTCGTTTGTTATCTTAGTTAAATATGGTCCATTGTGATCAGAGGATGCTTGTACAAGGGGGTTGTACTCAAAACAGAACACCACCCGATAGAGAGCTGGAAGACAGCCCCCCAGGTTGGAAGACACTCGAAACACACAGGGCCACAACAATGGACTTGAGCAGACCAATGATCGTGAAGATGGCGCAGGACTAGGCAGGGTTTCTTTCTGTTGTACACGAGGTTGTCGTGAGTCAGAACTGACTTCACAGCAACTAACAACTCAAAATTAAAAAAACCCAAACCCCAAACCCTTTGTTTTCAAGTCAGTTGTGACTCATAGCATCCCCATGTGACAGAGAAGAGCTGCCCCATAGGGTTTCCTAGGCTGTAATCTTTACGGGAGCAGATTGCCAGGTCTTTCTTTAGCAGAGCTGCTGGGTGGATTGGAACCACCAACCTTTAGGTAAGTAGTCAAAGGCAAACTATTTGTGACACCCATGGACCTCATTAACCAAAAACAAAACCAAAATCCATTGCTGTCGAGTCGATTTCGACTTATGCCAACCCTATACGACAGAGTAGAACTGCCCCATAGGGTGTCCAGGGAGCAGCTGGTACATTCAAACTGCCAACCTTGTGGTTAGCAGCCGAGCTCGTAACCACTTTGCCACACTCCAACGTGTTTAAAACATGTCAGTGGAAACAATGTAATTCACCACCACGTGGCTCAGCGGACCTTCATTCATGCCTGGTTTTATTGTGGTAAATATATAAGTAAAAACATATTTTCCATTTCAACAATCTTTCTTCCAAGGTGCCTCTGGGTGGGTTCGAACCACCAACCTTTGAGCCAGTAGTCTAGCACTTAAGTGTTCGTGCCACCTAGGGTCAACTTAATGCTCTCTCTCTCTTTTTGTTTTTTGATAGAACTAATTGGTTGCCTTTTATTTTTTAAAGGAAATGATAAATCTGTGTGTTTTTTGTTTTTTTTTTTAACTGTGGTAAATATATAAGTAAAAACACATTTGCCATTTCAACAATCCTTACATGTACCGTTCAAGAGACATTAACTATAGTCGTCATGTTGTTCAACCGTCACCGTTAAGTGTTCCCGAATTTTTCCATCATCCTAACAGAAGCTCACTGTTCTCTAAGCACTGTGTCTTCCTCTCCCCCTCCCTCTGGCTTGCCCCTGGTTACCACCAACAAACTTTCATCTTTATACACTTGCCTGTTGCAGAAATCTCATATAAATGAGATCATACAGTATCGATCCTTTCGTGACTGATTTATTTCACTCTGAATCTGTATTTTCGACAGCTCAGTATTTTCTATCAGTGATGGTCACTACCAAAATTTCAGACTGACACCATATTGGTGATGCTCACCTTTTGATAAACGACGCAGCCTCCTTGAGGATGAGAGACGTGGTTCTCTGGAAGAGCATGGGCTGCTCCGTGATGGAGTGGTTTCTCATGAGGAAACAGTCCGCGTGAACAATCAGCGTGCCCGTGAAGTGTGAGATGGTGCAGAGCAGGACAGCCACCATGGCTGACCAGACGACCGGCATCCATGGCACCGACACCAAGCCAGTGAGCTTCCCGGTGGCCAGCGTGAGTATAGCCAAGGCCAGGATCTGGGCGCAGAGGTTGAGTTTGCGCTCCAGGCCTGCGCGTTTCTCGGAGATGTCCCAGTACAAACAGTCTCCCATCATGGAGAAAGGCATCCCGTAGAAGTGGTCGAATCCATGGTTGAGAGGGTGGTGGCAGTGATCACTGGAAGATTCACAATTGAGGCCCAGGTGCCATTTTCCTGGAAGGCAAAAGCATGTCCATGTGACAGAAGACTGGCTGACCACCAGTTGGGAAGTAGGAATCATGAGCATCCTACATGATAGGCACTCTGTGGGGGCACTGGGATGTGTTGGGGATATCCAGGGGTGTGGACAGTGGGATCAGGTATTTGCACCATGGCCTGACCTCCTCATTTCAGGAATGTGAGAACCCTAGGGGTCCCTGGGTGGTGCCAGTGGTTTGTGTTTGACTACTAACTGAAAGGTTGGAGGTTCCAGTCCACCCAGAGGCACCTCAGAAGAAAGGCCTGGTGATCTACTTCCAAAAAATCAGCCATTGAAAACCTTACGGAGCACAGTTCTACTCTGACACACATGGGGGCTCCATGGGTCAGAATTGACTCCACGGCAACTGTTGTCTTTGGGAGAGGGGGCATTGCTCAACCTACCACACCTGTTTTGCGATGGTTCATGGCAGAGGTGACGAGGAAGGCACAGAGCAGACAGATTGTTCTAGAAAGTTCTATCTGACATCATTGGTATGGCAAAAGACTCACTGATGTCAGAATTGTTCCTTGCTCTGTTAAGCCACTTTGATGAGGGTCAGGCTGGAGGTGGGGATAGGTTTCAGAGTGCAACTTTCAACTCCCATCAAAGGAAGGTGGTAGGCATCCCTTCTTCCACTACTGGGCTGCTGATAAAGAGACACGGGGTGTCTTCTCACTTCTCTGTTGGTGTCCATCCCCCAGAAAACCCCATGTGATTTCCTGGAGACAGTGGTGGGTCAGTGGTAGAATCTTGCCTTCCATGTAGGAGACTAGGAAAAAAGGCCTGGCCATCTACTTCTGATAATCAGCCAATGAAAACTCTATAATCACGATTTGATTCCACTGTGTACGGGGTCAGCATGAGTCAGAGCTGATTCAACAGCAGCACCAACAACCACATCGCTTTGTAAGCACCACCCAAATCAAGAAACAGAACATTTATGGAGCCTGAAATAGATATCCGGAGCCCTGGTGGCGCGGTGGTGAAGTGTTCGACCGCTAACCAAAAGGCCAGCAGTTGGAATCCACCAGTCAGTCCTTGGAAACCCTATGGGACGGTTCTGCTCTGTCCTATAGGGTTGTGGTGAGTAGAAATTGACTCTACGGCAACAGATTTTTGGAACATATGTATGTGTGTATGTATATGAAGTTCTATGTATAAATAAATAAGTTATATATAAATGCATTTCTAATATATACCTGGGAGCAGGGGTGGTTCAGTGGTAGAATTCTCACCTCCCATGCGGGAGACCCAGGTTCGATTCCCGGCCAATGCACCTCAGACGCACCCCCCCACTGTCAGTGGAGGCTTGCCTGTTGCTGTGATGCTGAACAGGCTTCGGCGGAGCTTCCAGAGCAAGATGACTAGGAGGAAAGGTCTGGTGATCTGCTTCTGAAAATTAGCCAGTGAAAACCCTATGGGTCACAATAAACTATTGTCCAATATAATGCTGGAGAGGGCAGTGGTGGTTCTGTGGTAAAATTCTCGCCTCCCACACAGGAGACCCGGGTTTGATTCCCGGCCAATGCACTCGTGCGCAGCCACCACCCATCTGCCACTGTGTTGCTGTGATGCTGAACAGGTTTCAGCGGAGCTTCCAGACTAAAGATAGACTAGGAAGAAAGGCCTGGAGATCTATTTCTGAAATTCAGTTGATGAAAACCCTACGGAGCACAACAGTCTGATCGGCAACCGATCATGGGGATGGTGCAGGAACGGGCAGCGTTTCGTGCCATTGAGCATGGGGTCACTGTGAGTCAGGGCCCCACTCCAGGGCAGCTAAGGACAACAACAATCCCGTGAGAATAGACTCCTTCATGCTAAAAAAAAAAAAAAAAGGCAAGGAGTCTATTCTATTTTATATTCAGTACATCACCTACTCTTTTTCTTTGCTATAAAGAAATGTTACTGTTAATAAAAATTATCATTGTAAGGTGACAATGATAACGGAGACTTGGTTCCCTGTCAGTAAACTATTGTTGCTAATTTTCTTTCATGCCGTACGTACCCTGGCTGGCCAACGTGTAAAAAAATAAGCACATGATTCGTGGAAGCAGGGAGATGCTAAGCTGAGAGTCCCAGTTCCACAGGGGTAAGATGAAATTACAGACATTGTGGGTGAAAGGGTATATAGTTTCTTTTCTTTTCTTTTTTTTAAATCATGGCACATCAGCACATCGCATAAAACACGAGATTTGTCATTAAACCAATACTTCCCAAGCGCTCACTTTGCACCAAGCTGGCTGGAGAGAAAGTCATTTGTGACCGGGTTGCTTTCCAGGGGCTGGAAAGTCACGCTCCATCCCACCCACTTCATTTCTAAAAGTTTAGCTGAATATACATAAAACAAAGAAGGAAAGAAAAAAAGGAAAAACAGTTGCCCTCCAGTTAACTTCAAAAATAAGCACCCCCTACAAGGGAAAGATGAGTCCAAGGGACTACTGGACCACAACCACAGTGCAGAGCTACCCTAACGGAACTGGAGAAGCTGCATTCACTCACTGCAGGAAAGTACATTAAGTACATCAGACATAGAGGCAGAGTGAGTAGCATCTGGGGTCTTAAAAGTTTGTGAGCGGCCATCTAACTAAGAGACTCCACTGATCCCACCCCGTCTGGAGCAAGGGGGAATGAAGAAAACCAAAGACACAAGGGAAAGATTAGTCCAGATGACTGATGGACCACAACCACCGCGGCCTCCACCAGACTGTGAGTCCAGCACAAGGAGATGGTGCCCGGCTACCACCACTGACTGCTCTGACCGGGATCACAACAGAGGGTCCCGGACAGAGCTGGAGAACAATGTAGAACAAAATTCTAACTCACAAAAAAAAAGACCAGACTTACTGGCCTGACAGAGACTGGAGAAACCCCTACAGTATGGCCCCCTGACACCTTTTTAGCTCAGTAATGAAGTCACTTCTGAGGTTCACCGTTCAGCCAGGGATTGGACAGCCCCGTAAAACAAAACGGGACTAATGAGGCATAGCAGTCCAGAGGCAAGGATGAGAAGGCAGGAGGGGACAGGAAAGCTGGTAATGGGGAACCCAAGGTTGAGAAGGGAGAGTATGAACATGTAATGGGGTTGTTAACCAATGTCACAAAACAATTTGTGTGTTAATTGTTTAATGAGAAACTATTTGTTCTGTAAACCTTCATCTAAAGTAAAAAAAAAAAAAAATTTGAAAATAAGCACCCTCTTGTGTGTCAGAGTAGAACTGTGCTCAGTAGGGTTTTCAATGGTGATGTTTTTGGAAGCAGATTGCCAGGACTTTCTTCCAGGGTGCCTCTGTGTGGATTCGAACCTCCAACCTTTCCGTTTGCAGCCTAACCACCTGCACCACCCAGGGGCTCCTTTAGTCGAATGGGCTGCCCCATATTAAAGTAACGTGCTTAACACTTTAAAAATGTACGTACCTATCAGTCCAGTGGTGTAATCTTCATCTTTTAATATTTTTGCAAAAGTGGTCTCACTCTTGGGAAGGCCTCCAGATACTGCTGCCCACTGAAGAACTCGGTTGCCACCACTGGAAACCATCCCTGCGATCAGCAAATGTCAGAGAAACATTACTGCTACACATTCATTGTTATTTATTATTATCATTTTAATTTGGAATATTTGGGGACAACTTCCATGACTCACAATTAAATGGGAAATTTACTTCCCACTTGGCTTTGCCTCCTGGGTCGCATGAGCCAAGGAAATGATTGATTAATTGAAAAAGTCAGCAAGGAGTCTTAGCGTCTTGTGACGTGGTTGTAAAAATTTTTTAAAAAAGGAGTATTGAATGAAACAAGAATAATAGTTAAAAAATTTTTATGATTTGACAAAACTTTTCTTAATTTCACGTTTGTGAAAATGGGCACAGTAAAGGATACACCATTTCAACCAATTCTACACGCACAATACCGTGACATTGTTTACATTCTTCCAGTTGTATATCTGTATCCTTTTCCAAATTATTCCACCACCATTAGCAGAAAGTCACGCCCGCCCCCCAAACTTCTCATCTAACCTTTTGAGATGATGTTTGACCAAACTCTTGCTATAATTCAAAACCAGTTGCCATTGAGTTGACTCTGAGTCACGGCGACCCCATGTGCGTCAGAGTAGAACTGCACTCCATAGGGTTTTCAATGGCTGACTTTTCAGAAGAAGGTCACCAGGCCTTTCTTCCTAGTCTGTCTTAGACTGGAAGCGCCACTGAAACCTGTTTGGTATCACAGAAAAACACAAGCTTCCACGACAGACGGGTGGTGGCTGTGCATGAGGTCCACTGGCCAGGAATCTATCTGGGTCTCCTGCAGGGAAGGTGAGAATTCTACCACGGAACCACCGCTGCCCACCCCCCCACCGCCAGTAATTGTCTTAAAAAACCAAACAACCAAACCCGTTGCCATCAAGTCAATTCCAACTCATAGTGACCCTATAGGACAGAGTAGAACTGCCCCATAAGGCTTCCAAGGAGCAGCTGGCAGATTCCAACTGCTGATGTTTGGGTTAGCAGCCATAGCTCGCCATAGCTCTTAACCACTGCACCACCAGGACTCCAATAATTGTCTTGAGGGAGTTAAAAAGGGCATGTCCTGGTCCAGCCGGTGGTTAGATGTAAGAAAGAACTAACCTGACCGGAGCGGGTACCTGCCCGTCAGGAAAGCAGCTCGGCTTGGGGTGCACACGGGCGCGGCAGCGATGTGCTGGGTGAGTTTCACCCCGTCCTCTGCAAGGCGGTCAATATTTGGAGTCCTACGGAGGAAGAAAGTCACAGTTTTATTCCCAGTCAAACAGGGTTTCCCACAAAAGCATAGCCATATACTAGGTGTTGCTGTTAGATGCTCTGGAATCAGCTCTGACTCATGGGGACCTTGTGTATGACAGAAGGAAACGCTGCCCGGTCCTGCACCATCTTCACGCTCGTTGGTATGTTTGAGTGTGTTCTGGCAGCTACGGTGTCAATCTACCTCACAGATATACCACGGACTGCCAGAACAACAAACAAATCAGTCTTAGAAGCAATACAATCCAAATGCTCCTTACAAGCAAGGATGGCGATACTTGAAATCACTTACTTTGGACACGTCATCAGGAAAGACCAATCGCTAGACAACGACATCGTGTTTGGTAAAGTAGAGGGTCAGAAAAACGAGGAAGACCCTCGATGAGATGGTTTCTTAGCTACCTAGCGCTGCTCCAACGGAAATACCATGACTGGGTGACTTTAAAGAACAGAAATGTATTTTCTCCCAGCTCAGGAGGCTAGAAGTCTGGACTCAGGGTGCGGGCTCTGGGGGAAGGCTCTCTGTGCCGGCTCTGAGGAAGGCCCTTGTCTCTTCAGCTTCTACTTCCTGGTCCCTTGGCAATCTCCACATGGCGTCTATCTTCCCCCATCTCTGTTTCCTTGATTAATCTGCACTTTAATAACACAAAAGAGATGGACTTACCCCTTTGGTGACCCAATTATGTTCTGCTATAAATTTTTCGTTGATACCACGTGTCTTCACTAATGGAGGCATGCGAAATCATTCAGTATGTCTGAATTTTTGGTAGGTAGTGTACCTTTTTTTTTTCTTGCCCCCACCCACAAGCCTACCCTAAGTGTTTAGCAGTACATATGAAGTATGACTAATTACACCCCAGAGTCCCCGCTGGGGTCTATTGGTATATATGTGTAACTAAAAATTCTCAAAATTTCTATTTTTCTTACCAAAAATGCAAACACCTCATACAATGCCCTGTAAAAACTGTAAATTGTGGCGGGTGCACATGTCTGCAGTTTCAAACAGTCACAGAAGCCCCTGACTTGTAGCAGCGTGCACTGTCAGAGGTACGGCAACTTCCTTACAAACCCCAGAGGCTGAAAAAGTTGATGGTTACCACTCTGACTGGAATCACAATAGAAGGCCCCGAGTAGAATAGGTAAAAAATGTAGAACAAAATTCAAATTAAAAAAGCAAACGAAAAAAGACCAAATTTGCTGTCTGAAAGAGACTGCAGGAAACGCCAAGCCTCCCGCCCTAAGACAACCTTTCAACTTGAAACTGTAGACACTCCTGGAGGCCACCTTTCAGCCAAACAATAGACGGGGCTGTAAGATCAACAAGAACATCGGTGAAGATCGCGCTCCTTAGAACAATCGATTGTACGGGACCCAAAGGGCAACACTGGCCCAAAATCAAGACGAGAGAGCAGGGAGGGAGGGACAGGGAAACCGGACTAATGGAAAGGGGAACTCAGGGAGGAAGCGGGGAGGGTGCTCACACCTTGTGGGGATTGCAACCAAGATCATGTAACAATTTGTGTCATAATCATTGATTGGAGAATTAATTTGCTATGGAAACTTTCACCCAAAGCATAATAAAATGTTAAAAAAGCAAACCAACAAAAAAGAGTTCATGGTTGTTATATGTACCACCAGGCATGAAAGCGTTAAGACAGCCTACGCTAATACTGCCTCATTAAGTTTACGAGAAAACCTATTCCCAAACGGGATTGTAACCACAAGTACAGAGTTTAGGATTTACAACATGTAATTTTGGGGGACATAATTCAATGCATCACAGATGGATTGACATGATAACCGTGGTGATGGGCTAGAACATACCAATAACCGTGAAGATAGTGCTGGACCTGGCAAGCTTTCCTTCTGTCTCCAGGTATCTGAGTCTACTCAAGCGCAGCTAACAACGACAAGGAGAAACAATGTATGCAGGTATCCCTTAAACCCTGGACTTGATTATACATAGTATCAATGACTTCTCTGTCCTCTGGGCTCCGCGTGGGGACACAGGCTGAACAATTGTTTCTTGCCTGATGGTGTTGTTGCCATAACAGCCAATGTCTCCAATGCCGAGGTCATCTGCCATCAGGAGAAGGATGTTGGGCCGGGAACCAGATAAATCTTTACAACCAGAGGGCTTCAAAGCCAGGAGAATGCAGAGTGCCACCGACAGCCAATTCCTGAAACACAACGCACCAAAGGAGGCTGGACTCTGCTCTCCATTCTGTTCACGTCACATCTGTCAGTGGGATGTTGGTGTCACCATGTTAGGTGGCTTTGGTGTCATTGTGGTGCAGCAGTTAAGTGCTCAGCTGCTAACCCAAAGGTTGGCGGTTCCAACCCACCAGAAGAAAGATGTGGCAGTCTGCTTCTGTACAGATTACAGCTTTGGAAACTCTATGGGGCAGTTCTACTCTATCCTATAGGGTCAATATGAGCTGGGATGGACTCAACGGCAATGGGCTTGTTTGTTTTTTGTTTTTTGTTTTTGGGTTTTGGTGTCATATTTCAAAATAAAGAGTACCTCTTAGTCATTTGATTTTTTTTTTCAGCTTATAAAATATGTACAATGTCGATGGTTTTTTCTAGACTTTAAGCGTCCTTTACTTATTTTTTTGGAAGCTCTGTAATCTGTAGCTAGAAGTCCCTGGGTGGTGCAAACAATTAAGGACTCGGGTATGAACCAAAAGGTTGGAGGTTTGAATCCACTCAGAGGTACCTGGGAAGAAAGGTCTAGTGATCTATTTCCAAAAAATCAGCCATTAAAAACCTTACAGAGCACAGTTCTACTCTGACACACACGGGGTTGCTATGAGTCAGTCAACTGGATTATTGGTTTTTAGGAGTCCCTGGGCGGTGCAAACGGTTAATGCGCTCAGCTGCTAACAGAAAGGTTGGAGGTATGAAATACCAAAGACTGACATTTTTAGTCCACTGATACCTGTTGGGAAATGGGGCTTAGAGGGGGATGGAGGTGACAGCCCAGCACAAAGCCCCCTGGTGGTGGAATGCCATGAGAAGGAATTGCCACAGGGGTTGATGGATTCCCCACCATCTCTACCACTGCCATATCGGTGGTCTGTGTAGACTTTTCTTGGGCACCAGTCAGACATGCATGTGAACAGCAGCTCAATAGCTTCACAGTACCCAGAGTAATATAACACAGATGCAATCTGTGTCTCCAAAGAATGTTTGCAAGACAGACTCCCTGGATTCAACTATTTGTCTCTATTCATCTGAAGCAAAAGAGAAAGAAGAAAACCCAAGAATCAGAGAAGGAGCTGCACTACAGAACTAACTGTATCTAAGAACTTCTGCTTCCTCTACCCTGAGACCAGAAGAACTAGATGGTGCCCCGCTACCACGACCAAACGTTCTGATCAGGGTCACCACAGATGGATCTGATAGAAAGGAAGAAAGATGTGGAACAGAACTTTAAATTCTCAAAGAATCCAGACCTAATGATACTGGAGGAATCCCCAAGACTATTACCCTGAGATACTCTTTAAACCTTAAACTATCTTCTGAAGTCACTTTTAAGCTAAATAGCAGGTTAGCTCAAAAAGTAAAGAATGTCAATGGAACATCCCAGAATGGAAATAAGGAGAATGTTCACGCATTGTGAAGAATGTAACCAATGTCATGGAACAACTTGTGTAGAAATTGTTGAGTGGGAACCTAAACTGCTGTGTAAACCTTTACCAAAAACACAATAAAATATTATTTTAAAAAAAGTAAAGAATGTCACCCTTGAGAACTGTGCTCTTTTAAAGAATTCTCTCTATGAGACCAAATGGTCAACAGTTACTCTAAGGCATAGATGAGAAGGTTGGGGGGCAGTGAATGTATGTTAATGGGAGTAAAACAACGAGAACAGAAACAACGAGAAAGTTGACACAATGCCAAGACTGTAACGCACGTCACGGATCATTATGTGTAGAAATTGTTCAATGGGAGTGTGTTTTGTTGCGTATGCTATCATCAAAAAATACAATAAAATATTAAAAAGAAAGGTGGGCTCGCTGGAAAAGCAGACGACCCGTCTGAGAGGTAGGGCAGGTTGTTCACTTGGTGTGGGAAAATGAAATAGAATCTCTTCCGCAGCTGCCTGGGACGGCCCTGAGATAGGGGCGCATGCAGTGCTCATATGAGTCTTGAATCCCAAGCCCAGTCCTCCGGATGCGTAATCTATTGCTAAATGAGTGAAGCCACTCTTTGTGATCAATGCATTCCAAGAAAGTGACACCAAGAACTACAGATGCAGACCTTGAATATTCATTAATTCAGACAATTCTATCTTACCAAGAATGTTCCCGATCCAACATGTTCCCTTTGGTTTCTTCCTGTAAGAAATGAAGATGTTAGAAATGACATAAAAACCAAACTGTTTCCATCAAGTTAATTCTGTCTCATGGTGCCCCCATGTGTGTCAGAGTAGAACTGTGCTCCATAGGATTTTCAATGGCTGAATTTTTTGGAAGTAGATCTCCAGGCCTTTCTTCCGAGGCCCTTCTGTGTATACTCGAACCTTCAACCTTTCGGTTAGCAGCCGAGCATGTTAGCTGTTTGCACCACCCAGGGACTCCTAAAAACCAGTTGTCTTGGAGTCGACCTCTTTTGTGTCAGAGTAGGAGTGTGCTCCATAGGGTTTCAATGGCTGATTTTTTAAAAATTGTACATAACAAATAGTGTCTCATTAAACAGTTAGTATACATATTGTTTTATGACAATGGTTAACAACCCCATGACATGTCAACACTGTCCCTTTTCAACCTTGGGTTCCCCATTACCAGATTTCCTGTCCCTTCCTGCCTTCTAGTCCTTGTCACTGGCTGTTATGCCCATTTAGTCTCGTTTTGTTTTATGGGCCTGTCTAATCTTTGGCTGAAGGGTGAATCTCGGAAGTGACTTCATTACTGAGCTATAAGGGTGTCCGAGGGCCATACCTTGCTTGCTGACAGTGAAGAGGACTTGAAGCCTTTACTGATGAAGAGCAAAGACCACAGCCTTCAGTATGGATTACACTTCAACATAAAGAAAACCAAATTCCTCACAACTGGGCCAAAAAGTAACAACATGATAAACGGAGAAAAGATTGAAGTTGTCAAGGATTTCATTTTACTTGGATCCACAATCAAC